ACAAGGTAGTGTGAAATCCAAAAATATTTTTGTACTTCTCAAAGTAAACAGCTCGGTGGGAATACCGGGGTTTGTCTACTCCTATGGAGCGATGTTGATTAAAAAAAAAGTCTGCGGATGCAACCAATTAAGATTGCAGTCGCTGTTCTGCAGATCCCGCATGGAGAAGCTGGAGACTGGTCGGTTTTGTGGTTATTTCCTTGCCCTGATTTACATTTCCTTGGAAGTAGCGATCGTTAAGAGGGATTGCTACTAAGTTAAAAATTATTTCCGCGGGCTTAAAATGAAGTTTACTTCGTTCATTAGCCTCAGACCACTTCCTTCGGAACAAACGAGATGATCAGCAATCCGATCTAAGACCTGAAATGCAAGACACCTCGGAAAGCGGGTTCTCTTACGTTTGGAAGAATTGGGGGTGGGGGGGGGAATGAGCGCCAATTAATTCCTCATACTTACCCACTCATCCCCTCCTTTTCCGAACCAATGTGCAATCAAATACAGTATATCTACTGGAAATCAGATACAATAGTTTGAGCCCTTTGCGTTATCTTTGTCGAATTAGGAAGTTCACGTTTTCCCATTCTTAATATTCTCTGGTAGCCCTCGCCTGTACCAGCCTGTTTTGATCCCCGTCCCCCCCGCCCCCAAAGAAGTGTGTGTGTGGTGGTAGTGGTAGCAAGTCTATACGATTTGAGAATGGAATGCTTAGGGTTTCAATGGACTGCACAGAAAGACACCCCCCCCCCCCCCGCCGCCATCCCACCCTGTATTTCCCTTCGTCTCTCCCAGTCGGTGCTCAGCACTGTATACTCTTGTGGCTTCTTTGGACCCATATTGTGTTAAATTGATGTAGAATCCTGTGCATTTCTACTCATAAGTAAATTTGACTGCATTCAATAGGATTTAGTTCCTGTAAAGGACTGAGATGTTTCTTTCCTTCTTAGACCAAAGAGTCTTCTAATCTGAAGAGTGTTAGGAGTACTGTAAGAAACTGCATTTAATGGGTCTTACCAACATCTCCCATCCAAATGAAATGCTCAACATTTGAAAGTGGATATGAATCCCCCCATTCCTTTATTACATATGATTCAATGAATAAATATTTGAAATGTAAATGCTTAATCATACCTATTTAAATGATTCTTTTATTTACAATCAAACAGGCACACCATTGCCTGCTTAAATGATTCTTTTATTTACTATCAAACAGGCAAACTATTGGGGGGGGGGAAGCTAAAACATTTACTGCTGTTACATAGTTTGAATCCCAGGGACCTTTTAAAATCTGCAGTTTTTCATTTTATTAGATCATAATATAGACAAGCCCTGACCTACCCACCCCAACACACAGTGTATAACATACTGTTATATAAATGAAAAGTAGATTGCAAACCAGAAAACAAGCTGAAACTCCTTTGGAAATTTAAGACAAAAAACTGCCTATAATGTTAACCAACATTGATGTCTACGTTTATAAATGTTGGAGATTTACATCTTATTTAAGTTTATTATATGATTATGAATGCAAATTAAATGAGCAATTATGAATTGGTGGTGAAAATCATGAAATATTAGAAATGCAAAAGTGACCCTTATTAAATACATTTGGTTAGAAAGATCTACCCAACTGATGTAGCTGGCAAACAATTTCATATTTGTGACCATGTCATAGCATTGGTCATGAAGGAACATTTTATTTAATGTGCCCCTCCACCAACTGCCCATACTTTCTACCCTTATTAAACCTGACTCATTCATTGACACCGTTGATTTTGTGCCATTGCTTGTACTTATAATCTTTGCTCAGATTTCTGCCACAATAGCATGTCTTCCTGTGTTTAGGAACCAACAGGAGAGCCTTCTCCTAAAAGACCAAGAGGAAGACCTAAAGGAAGCAAAAACAAGAGTCCATCTAAAGCAGCTCAAAAGGTGAGAATACTCCAGTGGAAGAGATTTGCTTGCATTACCATCCATCCACTCATTACTCAGTATCCAATGGGTTTCACTTATTTAACTTCTGAATTCGTGTTTTGTGCCATTTTATTCATATTGCATGCTTCAGTGTTGTAGAATAGTCCTGAGTTTTCCTTGCCCCTTCTTATTTTAGAATTCTTGATACATAAGTGTACAGTCTTCTGAATTCAGAATTGTATTTTAGAAGAAACTGTAAATGTACAGCATTTTGAATGTTTAACAGAATTAAAATTTTCTGTAGGTTTCCTAACATTACACCCAAATAGTTGAGGTGGAATGTTTGTTGATTATGTACTTAGTAAATAAACCAGTGATTTATTGGTGGAAATCAGTATGTTTATAAAAACACAGTCTTCAGAAGATAACTATCTCAATCTATCTTGTGTTTTTTAGTAATTAATTTCATGGAGGCAATTTTTGGGGGGTGGGGGAACAGCTATTTAATCATCATTATATTCAGAATATAATATTCTGGTCCATGGGGTCACGAAGAGTCAGACATGACTAAACAACAACAACATTCTGAATATTAGGAGATGAAGATTCTGATTGATCAGTTCAGGGATTAACTTACTTTAGTGTCACCAGCTGAGTTTTTTATTTTTATCTGTAAGGTTCAACAGAGGATGGGGCGGAGAAGGACTTAGTTTCATTCAAATGCACACATGTGGGCTTTAAAATAAACACAGGAGTCATGTTTCTGTAACAAGTCACACAGCAGGTAGCACTCTTAATTTACAAGTACTGTATGATGATGATGAAAACAAAGTCTTGCCAACCCTGGAAGTCTGGTATGGTGTTGATGTCTGTTGTACTAGTTTTGTTAATTGTTTTAAGGTATGTAGTGGAATGCCTTTAGTAGAGATTGTGGCTTGTGGGCTCCACTGGTTATAGCTGTTTTTAGGTTGGGGGATGGTTGTTTTATGCTCTCTGAGCACTACTTTTTTTGTGTTTAGTTTTGGGTGTTACAAATTTTCATAGCCACTTATGATAACTATTCTATTTAGTAGTTGACACTGTTTTGAGATATGCCTTGTTTTAATTCTTTTAAGCATCAATTGCAAGAAATCTCTTCTTTTTTCTTCCCCTGCTTGAGAAAAACAAAAAAGTTTGTTTTTTAAGGCATCTTCAGTCAATAAAGTGATAAATCTGTACTTTTTTCTCAAAAAGGATATTATATAACTACAAAGGATACAGAAAAGAGCAACCGAAATGATGATCATGAAGATTGGGTACCTCCCCAGTGAAAAAGGTTAATAAGATTTGAGGCTTTTTGGTTAGGAAAAAGGGACAGGATGTAATACAGAGGTATAAAATTATGCATGGTATGGAAGAAATGGATAGACAGATGTTGTTGTCCCTCCCTATTCAAGGTCATTTAATACATAAGGAGATACATAAGAAAATACTTGTTCACGCTGCACGTAGCTTAATTTTGCTACTACAGCATGAACACCATCTTGCATGGATTTAAATGAGAATTAGACAAATTCATAGATGATATTTTTATCTATGGATGCTAGTCATAATATCTCTATATTCCATCCAGTATCAGAGCTGTACTGCCACTGGATACCACTTACATGGGAACATGAGCAGGAGGTGGTGTTGAATACATGCCCTGCTTTTTTAACTTCCAGTAGCCATTTAGTCAAGGGACGTGGTGGCGCTGTGGGCTAAACCGCAGAAGCCTGTGCTGCAGGGTCAGAAGACCAAGCAGTCGTAAGATCGAATCCATGCGACGGAGTGAGCTCCCGTCGCTTGTCCCAGCTCCCGCCAACCTAGCGGTTCGTAAGCATGCAAATGCAAGTAGATAATTAGGTATCACCTCGGTGGAAAGGTAACGGCGTTCCGTGTCTAAGTCGCACTGGCCATGTGATAACGGAAGATTGACTTCGGACAAAAACGCTGGCTCTATGGCTTGGAAACGGGGATGAGCACTGTCCCCTAGAGTCGAACACGACTGGACAAAAATTGTCAAGGGGAACCTTTACCTTTACCTAGCCATTTGGTCACCATTGTGAGAACTTTGGTTTATCAGTCAGAACTCTTGAGTTCTAGTTAAGAATTTCATAACACCAATTTCACTTACAGTTGTTTTATTTATCTGTTCCTCGTGTAGATGTAAAGATATACATCTTTCTTCAAGATGATAGAAGTAAAACTTATGTTCACCAGTTTTAATACTGAAATGTTTCCACAAAAATAAGGTTTAGGGATACTCTATAGAATGCAGTTATGATTGCATCTTGCTGTATTTAAATATTTGATAAACAAGAAACATATTCAGTGTGATCTTAACCATATATATGTAAATATCTACTCCATGGATTTCAGTGAGAATTGCTAATTAATTATGCTTAGGATTATAGGTGTAGATGGAAATATTCATTACACTATATTTCCAGGATCATTTTGAATATGCATTTGATTTTAGACAGAATTGGGAATTGAACTATTTTAATTTTGAGTTTTCAGAGTTAATCAAGACATAAATTTATGAAGTAAAAAGTTGCGCTCTTGGTTTATAATCAATTTGACCAAGAATCAGATCTTTTAAAAAAATTACTGATGGCTTTCAGATATCCATTCCATTTCACTTTAGTTTCATGTAGTGAAATCATAATGAAATGATTTTCACTGTGCATAAAAGACACTCAACAATATATACAAAGTTCTACTTTTTCAGCATGTTCCATTGAAAGGAATGGACGTAATGAAAATTACAGCGAAGAATCACCTGTGCCATTGTTTGGCTTTAATTTATTGAAATAGGTTATATGTAAAAAGTTACAAGCAGGCCCTGTTGGTGAATGAATAGGAGCCACATGAACTGAGCAAAGATAGGGCCACCTCATTCCCACAACCCATTCCAAAGGGTTAGGAGATTTTTCATAATACAGTCATAGTACAATTTAGAAGATCTACAGTAGATGTTGAACCTGCAAGAAATACCTTCAGCTGGGAAGCTTTTCTTTGTGTTGTTTAAATGTTCTCCTCATGAGTTAGATTCATGCCCATTTTTGAGTTAAAGAATGTTTGCATGGAAGTTTCAGCTGACCTCATCCTAGAGATCTGTACACACATGAGTTTATATGTCTGTTTCTTTTGCATGCAGGGGCTGCCCTGCTCTTTCATTCCATTACAGGGAACAACTCTTCTTATACAAAAAAAATTCATAAAAATTGATCTCTTTACTTTACATATATATAAAGCACAGCATTACATTGTGACTACCATTTCAGAGTCCACTGCATTTGTGTGTAGGTTTAAAGCACACCTTTACGTGATATTATATAACATAAACTGGACGTTTCTTATAGCAGTTCAAACTGCTGCTAAATATTTGCTGTTTTTAAAAAAGTTGATTTGGGGAGGAAATGATACCAATTTATTATGGTACGTATTTGTACTGGGATATATTTATTAAACGACAACAGAAAGTTTATATGTGCTCTATTTCCAGTTTTCAAAATGCTAGTTGTTAACTGCTAAGGTCATTTTACCCACAAAGGTGGTTCTATATGTAATGAAAAGTTGCTGGAATTTGTGGTGAATAATGAGTGGCCTTTTTCTCAAAGTGAGCTAATTGAAATGTATTATGCTTACAACATCCAAGATAAATGTGCCACTAGAATTCACAGAGGGGATCTAAAAAGGCACTCATGATTAATTGATAAGGTGTTCTGTTGCAAATTCTTATACATCATAATTTTTTTTAAAAAATGTATTATACAGCTGATAAGGAATCCTAAAATTCCCAGAAAGTGGTGTACCTTGTTTTATTATAACTTGGAAGCAAAGTCCATTGAAATTATCTTGGGATACTGATGATTCTGTGCACTTAAAATTTCTTGATGCATAGTGAATTTTGTTTGCTTTATTTAAAATCCATATGTTTGGACTTAAAAACTAGCCTTGGGATATTAAGAAACAAATTGAGCTTGTTGGGAAATTAACAGTTTGAAACTTGACAATGCGTACAAACTGCTGCAGTGCCATCTGAGCTGCTTGTTCCTTGTCTGACACACAAAGTCCAAGAGGGCTGTTTAAAAAGTCATGTTAAACCCACAGCTAAATGAATTGGTAATCTAAAAGCCATTTCCAAATATTGGAGGAATAGTTTTTTTTCTCATATTAAAACCATAATTTAAAAACAATATTGTTGTTGACTCTTTTCAAATTTAAGTCCATAGAGAGATCATAATGAGAGATTACCAAGCAAATAGAGAGAAAGAAGAATGTAATTAATTTGTATTTTACAATTATTATTCATAAATTTCTACCTCTGAATGAATTCTGATGAGAAAATCTTTTCCTAAAATAGTTGATAATGGGAAGGGTTTTTTTAAACATAAAGAAACCCTATTGACAAATGTCTGTAGGAATGTCTTTTCTCTATATAAGCACTTCAGCTGTCCATATTCTATATTCGTTCTTGGTAAAAATACATATATAGTTGTTTGTTTGGAACAAAGAGGAATTCTTGGGCTGTATTTAGAAGAATAGCTACTTGGATATAAGTTTCATTAAAATCAACAGGCCATGTAAGGACAGGTTAAAAGTGGTATCAAATCATATTTGCTTTGTTTTTAAAAAGCATGGCTCTATCTTGAAAATGACCACTTTATTATAAAAATTCTTAAATAAGAAACTGCTGTGATGCATTAAGAGTAGAACTTTTTTTATGCTATACACTTGCTGGGAAAATGTGCTAGTGGCTGTTTACGAAAAACTGTTCAAAGTGCATGTGAATATCTTGGATATTGTTTATTTGCCATTTTTCAAACAATATCACCCATAGTAGCCAATCAAACACTGAGGAAGAAGCCTGATTTATAAGTACTTCTCATCCAGATGTAGATCACCATTTATTTATACCTGGGAAGAGATGATAACTCGTACCCTACTTTGTAGTCAAATATAAAATACAGTATAGCAGGTATTCTCTCCCA